TTATTCGTTGCCCAGTTTTCACAGGCATATGAGACATTAAAAAGACCATGGTTTGTGTCGCGTGCCTTTCGGTGCTCACAACGACATCTTTACTCTTAATCACTTGAGAGATGCCTTTATGTGATAGTGCCTTATTGGGACAAAGCACTCTTTTGAATGTTTATTGGCCTTTTAGAGATTCTCCTTTATGGTGTGACTATCTACTCTCCTGCCCATGCTTCCATGTTTTCATTTTTGATGTAATTTGTAGCAGTTCTATGTAGTAAAGGGCTTCACAAAACACATGAAAAAAGCAGAGCTAAAAGATAATTAAATATTTCGTGAACTTGTTGAAGTCCACTTGTATATTCTTAGCTATTGACTGCTAGCCAGTTTTAGGTGTTTCTCAAATATTTTTTCCTATTTGGAGATATCACTTCTCACTGTATTAGTGAGCTATTAGAAAAATACATATCTAGAGGGCTTAATAGGATACTGCTGTTGGGTTCACTTAATGTGATGGGCTATGTAAATATACATATAGTATGTTTTTTTTTAAGACAAACAAATAAAAATCACTCCAGATTCCTTATCCCTTAAACCTAAATAGTTGTTTGAGTGGCTTAAAAAAAAAAACGACTTCTTTTCTGGCAGATTTTGCCCAATATTTGATTTCCTGACTGTTGTTTCCATGGGTGTTGATAGTGGATCCAAGTAAAATGAAGTCTTTGATGACTTCAATACAAGGAACACCTTAGGAACGCTAAATTGGATTTCAGTCTGTATAAAGGCTGTTTGATCTCTGATTCTCCCGGCTCCTAGTGGCAGCCTATCAGGCTCACAAGTGAAGCCCGACTGCGGTTACCTTTCAGTCAGTCCCCTACAGAGGGTGACTTTTAGTGAGCCTTTAACTACAGTTTGGGTTCTCGTGGCTCCGTGAATTATTAAAAATATTTCTCAGGTTTACAGGTGAGTCTTTTGGATGGAAAAATTCCCACCACCACCCCCCCCGAAAATAAGAGCCCCGTATGTGAGAGTCATTCTCTGAGTTTCTGCTTCCTCCTTCTACTGCTGTTGGGTCCCTTCCAACTCGGACGTTAGGGTTTCAGAGGTGGCTGTCCATCTCTACGGAAGCCAAGGGTCTCATCTTTCACCCTCAGAGCATCTGGTGGCTTCGGACCGCCAATCTTTCATATAGCAAGCCATGCTTAACCCACTGTGCCACCAAGGCTTCTTGATGGCTCCATACCTTTTTGTTAATCCTCCAGTATCTTTACACAGATAGTTTGACTATCTTAGCCAACTTTTCCAACTATCTGTGGAAGAAGCATTGGCCTAATTTATTTTCTCTGGTACAGCCACCATCTACCCTCACTAGATAGATAGATTTAAAATAAAGAACTTATTTGAATGTGCACATGTTTTAAACTTCTCCAAAAAATGCTTTGCTTTCATCTCTCCAGTTTAACCATATACTACATTTTAAAATATAGCCATTTGAATCACATCTTCAAATTTAGTATAAAGCAATTAAATAGAAAAATGTACTGAGAACGAGCCTTCCGGTACTAACTGCCTACGTAAGAAAATAGTGCTTTGTGTTCTACACCATGATGCTCCACTTCTCCTTTTTGTAAGAACACTAATATGCTTGTTGTTTTCACCACTCAAGTTGCATGATGGAGAACCAAAGGTCCAATGTATTCTATTCTGTTGATAGTTTTGGAGCCTGTGAGCTTTCATTGACAGTCATTGAGTGGATTCGACTGTCTCCTTGAATAAAGGCAAACTGGCTTCACAGCTAGATTTTACTCTACTCATAACATAAAGAAGCTCTCTTGTCATCCTATGAAAGTCAGAGCTCAGCCTAGGCAAAGGAAACGTCAAAACAAGGTCTCTAGTCTTTCATTTCATTTATTGCATTGTTCCAAACTCTTCTCGATAAGGAAATTCTATCATTTCTATTGAACAGCACTTCATTTGATTTACATTCATACATGCACATTCAGACAGATGTCTCCTATTATAAAATTTACATCTGAAAAAGAAAATTTACATCTGACTCTGAGGCTGGGGAACCCTGTGGTCTAGTGGTTAAGTGTTGAGTTAAGAACCTCAAGGTCAGCAGTTTAAAACCACGAGCAGCTCCATGAGATAAAGAGGGGCATTTCTACTTCCATAAAGATTTAGCATCTCAGACGCATAAGGCAGTTCTACCCTGTCTTGTAGGGAGTTGGAATCAACTAGATGTCTGTGAAGCTTGGTTTGTTGGTGTTTTGTTTGTTTTTGTTTTTAATTTTTTAGCGTTAGGCTGGATTGCCTAGAGAAATAAAACCAGTAACATTCGTGTATGGATAAAGAAGAGCTTTGTATCAAGAAGGAATCTTATATCAAGAAAGCATCCCAGCACAGTCCAACTCAAGACCATAAATCCGATGCTTCTCAGAGCCATTTTCAGACTTACATAGCTGCAGACCCACGACACCAAAATGTGAAGCAGGAAGCTGCAAGATCACAGGCCGATGAGTACAGAGTCCCGTGATCCAAGGTCAGTGGAAATATAAGAGGACAAAGACAGCTCTCAGAGTTGAGCAGCCCATATGGGGCCACCCCTGAAGGCAGGCAATCAGAAACGTGAAGGGGCAGAGCAAAAGGGGAGGAATACCTCTTTTAAAAAGGCCACACCTCGCTGGAGGCATGGTCAGTCTGTGACCCAACTGACAGGTTGGACTCCACCCCTAAGCAAGTAGAAGCTGATAAAAAATCTATCTGCCACACTGACTCAGGGAGAACTTATGAGGCTTTCTACTCCTGTAAAGAGGTACAATCTCAGAAACTCATAGGGGCAGCTCTAACCTGTCCTAAATCCAAGCTCCAACGTAAGAACAATTAGTTCTTACATCATGGCCCTGCTCAAAAATCACCTTCGTGAAACAACCACTGAAGATCAAGGGTGCTACAGCAAAGTGTGGTGAAAAAAAGTAGATGGTGCCTGGCTATCAATCGGAATAGTGTCAAGGTTTGTATTCCAACAAGCAGCCACCTAAGCGAGGAGTCAACTAAGTCCACACAGAAGAAGCCACCAGCTTGTGCGATCCAAAGATGACAATTACAAAATTTTACTATGGTGAAGAGAAAAGGAGCAGAACTAAAATTATGAACACATAATTTGTAGAAGGCTGTGGAACCTAAAACCCATCTGCAAAGTATCTAGTCAGAACGAGCTGCTAGCAGATCTGCTCTAGCCAAAGGAAAGGGTCCCAAACAGCTATGGTAATCTTGATTACCATGGATCAAACTCAATACTTGGCCAGTTGGCCTCCCGTTAGACAAGACCCGAATTTGTACTGGGTGCAAGTATCTCTTAGTTGTTCCATGACAGAAATTGCTTCCCTGGCTATTCAAATGTCCGTGAGGGTCTTCTCCTTCTAACGCATTATTTGTAATTTTGTCTTTATACTAGTATGATCTTATCTATACCACCTTAGTGCGACTTGCTTTTTATTGTGTGTTTGTTTGTTTGGGGGTATCCCACATGTAAATCACAGGAGGTATGGATGCATAATGACAATAACCAATACAAGAGAGGTAGGGAATGCAGAGGGGTGGGGATGGCTGATAGGGAAAGAAAGGGGATCTTATGAATGGTGAAGGTGGAGGAGGGGAGAGGGAGCACTAGAAAGTAGTGTGATTACACAACTCATGTTAAAGGTGATTTAAACAGGGTGGTGGTGGGGGCGGGCTCTAAGATTGATGTGATGGTGATTGTTCAATTTCCCTTGATATGATTGAACGATTAAACTATTCAATGGTATGATATGAAATTATGAACCAGGAAAACTGTTGGGGGAGAAAAAATGAAGGGAAGACAGGGGAGGGAGCATGAGAACTGTATGTGATTGCACAACTCATTTTAGGGGTGCTTTAACAAAGGGGGGGGAGGGATGAATGTTCTAAAGTTGCTGTCGTGATGATTGTATAATTCTCCTTGATATGATTTAATGATTGAACAGTTAAATTGTATAATGTGTATATTATGTGCCAATAAAACTGTTTTAAAAAAAATTCACTCCAATGAGAACTAATAAACATTTTTAAGAAAATGAACTAGCAAGTGATGATTAATTGAGATAAGGCTGCCAGGGAAAGTATTTCTAAAGAGATTGCTTTCAATCTGAGTCTAAAATGATGAACTGGAACCCAACTAAGCAAATGTTCCCAGCTGCGTGAACGATGGGCACAAAGACCCCCTGCCTCAGGTGCCCAATCCCTTTACATCCTCTCATCCTTAAATAGCTCAGGTGAAAACAACCAGAGGTGTGAACACGTTGTCTTTCTCGGGGGTTCTATATTATCAGACTTAAAAAGCCCTATTGGAATCCCTGGCTCTGACTATAGCTAATGTGCTCGGTGGTTAATCTGAAGGTTGGGACTTTGAGACTATTCAGAGGTGCCTGGAAGAAAAGTGGAGTGGCTGACATCTAAAAATGACAACAGTCATTAAAGACCCTACTCACCCTTGGACAGGAATCAAAATCAACTCCGCTGCATCTCTCTACACTCAAAAAAAAAAAATTCTAACATAGGCTGTTCCCCTCTCAGCTCTACTCATGCCTTCTTGGAATTCTTCCTGAAGGATTTATACTTTGAAATAGTAACAGAAAAATTGAGCAAGGCACAAAACAGGATGGTCACAATGCCCCTATTTGATACAATCTGAAGCTCTGTGAGTAATCTTGTTTTTGTTTTGAGCTGAGATTGCTTATTTTTTTTTAAGTAACAATGATATAATTATAAATTAGTCCTCTAAGCATTCCTTCAAAATTCTGCCCAACTTAAAATGCTGTCAATAGTCTATAAATTGGCAATAGGAAACAGAATCCTGTCACATATCAAGTGAATAAATGAGAAAAATATTGAGTGAGAAATACTTTTTTTTTGAGTGGCATTGAATAACATAACATTTGATTTAAAAGGGGGATTAAGCAGGAGAATTCCTGGGAATTTTTAAAAATCTAGTGGACACAAATGATGAATCACAAAGGGACTTAATACCGATCATCTTGATGTGAAAAAAATTTTTAATCTAGTGCATAGTGGCACTGCTTATGTCTAACATTGCTTCCCACCACCTGCCTGTCAATTTGTCACACTGTGATGGCTTGCCTATTACTCTGGTCCTGAAAGCTATGCCACCAGTATTTCAATGCATCAAGTCTATTAAGAGGTCTCTAAATTCAGGTCTCTATATCTAAGGTCATGTATTTGCTTCTGTGGACTTTGTGTTAGTTTGGGTAGACGAGAAAAACAAATCCATGGACACACAGGTATGTATAAGAAAGAGATTTATATACAGGAGCAATTCAATGTTGAGAAAACAACCCAGTCCAGTCCAGATCAAGTCCATAAGTCCGATATTAGCCCATATGTCCAATACCAATCTATAAAGTCCTCTTCAGACTCATGAGACATATGCAATGACGCCGAATGTAGAAGATCACAAGCCACTGGGTAGAAAATCTTTGGATCCAGTGGCTTTGGAAACATCTCAGCGCTGACAGAGGTCTCTGCATGGCTCCTCCAGCACCCAGGGCTGCATCAGGGTGGGTCCATGTGTCTTGCCAGCTGCTATGTCTCCCAGGGTGTGAACTGAGAGTCTCTCACCCCCAAGGAGGAAATACCGGAATTTCCCAATCCTTAGGGGGAGGCTATGCCCACACAGAAGGCTCATGGTCCATGACCTGATTGACAGGCTAGACTCCACCCCTACATGCTTAATACTTAAATTGACCATTATATAACTACCACAGACTTACTTTTCCTCAACTTCAACTTGAACTTGCATGTAAGCAATTTGATTTTCTACTCCACAGTTGACCACTGACCTTGTACTGACATTACATTGAGCTTCTCTATCATCTCTTTCTACAGATGTAGTTGATCTGATTTCTGGGTACTCCATCTGGTGAGGTCTATGTATATATGCTGCATTAAAACCAAAAACCCACTCTTACTGAACCAATCCAGTCCATATCAATCCTGTATCTTTACAGTAGTCTCAACTTTCTCTTGTGGAGTAATGAGTAGCTTTGAACCACGGACTGTAGTAATCCAACCCTTATCAGACAGTGCCAGCAAGGTTCCTGTATGCTGCATTACAGACTTTCAATTACATGTGTAAATGTTCTCAGAAGGACCAATGGTAAGTAAGTAGCGTTTTCCAGTGTTTTGAAGTAACTGGAATCAAGTAAAAGGATGAACAATTCTTCTATAATACGTATGATTATTCTAGTATGCAAAAAAATGGTTATAATAATCTGAGACTCTAGGTACTTTTGGAAGTTAATTTAACTTTTCAACTACAAATAAATATTTGAAAAAGTAGTACTGTTTATATCTAATTCCACCAATATGTATTATTACATACCTATTAGCCAGCTATAAGACACTATGATACATAGGAGATGTGTCAAATCACAAAATGATTTCATCTAAAGGGAGAGATAGCCATGAACACCAATTAGTAAAATCAATGTATCCTAAATGAGTCCTATCGGTGGGACAGTAAAATGCTGTGAGAATTTACAACAGAAAGGATGCTTCCACCTGGGGACACAAGTCTTGGGGAAAGCAAGCAACATTTTAGCATGAACTTGAAGAATAACTAAGATAAAGCTTTAAGGAATTGGGAACTCACAAGGACAGAAAGATATATATCCAGTAGAAGAGAACCATAAAGAAAATTAATAGATAAAGATGAGCTATGCATATGGGAGCGATAAGAATCCAGTGGGCTAGAGTGCAGGGTACAGAGGAATGGACAAAGAAGAGAGATGTGTTAGTTATCTAACACTCTCACAGAAACATTACAAGTGGGTCGTTTTAACAATCAGACACTGATTTTCTCACAATTGGGCAACTAAATTCTGAATTCAGGTGCCAACTTGAGGAGAGTCTCTCTGTAGGCTCTAGTGGAAGGCTTTTCTCTCTTCAGCTTCTCTTCTTTAGCACATTTGTGATCTCCATGTGGCATAGCATCTTCCTTATCTATCTTTGCACACTTCTCTCTTCCTCAGTTCGTTGATCAATAGGGATTCATTTAAAACACGCCTACCCTGATTTGACCTCACTAATTTAATAACAGAAACCCTCTTCCCCAAAGGGATTATTACATCATCAAGTATACCAAAAGGGATGGGGGGTGGGCTGGGAAGGGGAAATCCCTTATGGTTGATTCTTAATCATAGTGACAAGAGTAGAACTCCCCCCATGGATATTTGAAGTCTGCAAATCTTTACTGGCTGAAGCAGATTGAATCATTTTTATCCCAGAGAGCTGCAGGGTGATGGAACTGCTTCTAATCAACTACTGCACTACCAGGCTCCTGTCTGCAAGAATAGAGGATAGGAATTACAACACATGCGTTGGTCGTTCAGTTCAGAACCGCTGGAAAGGGAGCTGGGTGCAGATCCTGGGGTTTCTTAAGGAAGACGAAAAAAAAGCTTACCGTATCGGACACCAAAGCAAGTGCTGCAAAAGGAAAAAAAATAGATGAATTAGATTTCAAAATTAAAACCTTTGGATATCAAAGAAATTTATGAAGAAGGTGAAGAAATAATCTACAGAATAGGACACATACTTGGAAACCAAATATCCGATCCAAGAACCAAAAAAGGTAATGTCA